AGACATGACATACACATCTCCTGGTGAACAGGTAAGTCTTTTGACAATGCCCTTTGCCTTAGTTTTAAATATGCCTGTTGATAGAGAACTTGACCTTTGACCTGCTTTCACGTTTCTGAGCTCTGACGAGATACCTTTTCACAATGCTTTACTTTTTCAAGGCCCGTGCTGCTTTATTTTTACAAGGCCTGAGGCCTATATCGGGTAAAGGCCCTTTTAACAGCAAGTCATTGCACTATAACCCCCACCACGCCCCCAAAAAATTATTGCGGATTTGGGCTGCTCTCCTCAAGCTGCGCACGACCATGTAATCAGAAAAAGAAGAAAAAAATTTGCAAGGCAGTCTGTCGACAGCGGAAGGGTCCGCCTATGGGTCGGCCCGACTGGTATGCGCGCCTACCGCCTATGGTGGGCGTCGGCGTAGGCGCCAAAACTACCCTGCTCTTATTCTTATTATTTAATTATTCTTATTATTTTTGTTGTTTCTTTTTTTTGTTTTTTGTTTTTTGTTTGTTTGTTTGTTTGTTTGTTTGTTAACTTTTTTTGTTTTGTTTGTTTTTTTTGTTTTTTTTTTCCTTTTAAAAACAACTAGAAATTCTTCTCTCATAGACCTCACACTACTTACTATCCCAGTGAGCTAGGGCCTAGTTATCTATCCCTACGAGCTACTGCCTATCTGAGCCTATCCCCTCAGGGTTGAGCCCACCTCCTCAGGGTTGAACCTAAACCCTAGCACTGGATATGGGGGGGAAGAGATCTGCCCCAAGATTGAGCAGTGGGGGCAAGTGAATTATCTCAGCTGGTGTGTTCTTTTGTTTTCTCGTTCCTGGTGGGAATTTGTGATATGGCTTTTGAGCATGAAGTCTCCCTTCGTTTGCGATTCGCTTCCAATCGAGTTTGCGAGTGTGATGGACGCTGAAATTGTTTGAAATTTGGCGAATCTCAGCAATGTACTGTCCTCTTGGACATGAGTAGAACAATATATGGTCATTACATTGCTGTATCTGGACTGGAAGTTGCCCCAAATACAGCAATAATAACTGTACGGCGTGTAGGTTCTATTCGGGATAAGATGGCATGATTGATAGATAATTGTGTGTTGAAAATGATGTGGCAGTCTGGTGGTGGTCCCCACACTTCTCTCCTGCGCTCCTGGCTGGTTGCAGGACTGATACATTTTGAGACGGATTGCGGGAATGCGGCTTGGGATCATGAGAGCAATTGCCACGAGTAAGGGAATTCTCTGCCTAGGACTGTTTCGGTGATGTATCTGGTCGTAATTCCAGCCAGATTCCGTGCAAAAGTTGTAGTACAAGCTTGAGAATGGCCTCAGGCAGTTGTGGGTAGGGTCCTGTGTCTTGCTGTTGGCCCCTGAAGGCATACTTACGCGAGGGCTTTTTGGGATGCATCTGACTGCCTACTGAGCCGGATTCTGTCCAAGGAGTACAAGTGTAAGAGGCCTTACCTGTGTGTCTGCCTTCACAACGTCAAATTGATGGGGGCCACCATGATGACAGAAGAATGTTGTCTCTGTGTGTTTGTTTGTGTGTGTGTGTGTGTGTGTGTGTGTGTGTGTGTGTGTGCGTGTGTGTATGGGAGTGTGTGTGTGTGTGTGTGTGTGTGTGTGTGTGTGTGTGTGTGTGTGTGTGTGTGTGTGTGTGTGTGTGTGTGTGTGTGTGTGTGTGTGTGT